GATAAAAAAAAAAAAAAAAAAAAAAAAAAAAGAGAGAGAAAAAAAGATAAAATGTTATTTTACCTAATTGTTAAAGGCACTGTTAAAAGATAATGATTAACCAATACAGTGTGGTGAGAGCAATATGAAGTAGGTTCATCTTCTGAAGCTCATGCAAGCCATGTTAGCCTCTAGATAGTCTCTTACCCTAAGTATAAACAGAATTTGAATTTCAAAACAGAGCTTAACATAGTTCTTTCCTTTCTGTATTTGGACCATGAAGAAATCAAATCTACCTTTTCTAAATTTCTGTGTAATCACCCAGTAAAAAAAAAAAAAAAAAAAAAAAAAAAAAAAAAAAAAAAAAGTGGGGTATCTATAGACAAACTACTACTTGAACTTTTCTGAAGTCAGTTTAAGTACACAATATAGGCAAAAGCTATATAATCCAATGCCATCTGCATAATACCTCTAGGCTGGATCCATGGAACTAAATTTTGTTGCAATCGAAGATGTCTTGTGAATACATTTATCTCTGTTTGTGGTTTTTTTTTTTTTCCTTTTATGCCTTTGTCTAGGAGAAGAGGACCCCAATTTATGAAATAGGAGTGGAGCTGATTATTCAGTGAGATAGCATATTATCTTCCAAGGCTGGCTGTAGGTCAGACAAATGAACATAGCTAAAATTATATTACAGTTATTCAAACAATTGTATCAGTCATTCATTAAAGCATGTAAATAAACTTTCACTTTTTAAAACAGATTCTTTAATGAGGGAAGCACCCTTTGATAGGTTTCTCTAAGCAAGGATAACTAAGGCAGAGCAGGAAAAGAGAATTTTCTGAATCTGACTAAAGATACAAATGATTAAGATTTCATAATGTATGTAAAATGATTTCATAATGTATGTAAAATGTAAAATGACAGTAAAGCACTGTCATTTATGCTGCCATGGACCCCACATGGTGCTCTTGGGAACAGGACATTAAAGAGGGTCAATGCCTTTTATGGCTGAACACTAAATGATCTAGGTCTCCCATTTTTACTTTTATTTAATAATGTACATGAAACTTATGAACATTGTCTAAAGATGCTCACATGATTTTTGTTCAAATTCTGTTGCCACAAGAACTTTCGGTTACATTGAACTTTATGCGTAACTCTTGCAAGCCTTTCCATGCATGTTAACCAAAAAAGCCTGAACAATCTTTTGCAGAACACTTAAAGGTGTTCTGGACAGGTTCCATGCTTGTATTTGCTGGAATTTGTTAGTGCCTTGCAGTTACAGATAAACATAATAATCATGTTTTCAATAGTCTATATTACTCTGTTAGACATTCATGGCTATTTGTTCCAGCCCAATTAGATGGCAACTGAGACTGTCTTGAGAAACTAATTTGAATCCAGATCTTTTCCTGCCTATCTACAGAATTCTTTTGGTTTCTAAAAGAGAAATGACAGACACTGAACTCCTGTCAATCTGAGCTAGTAGCTTAAAATTGGGTAATATGATTGCTCGCCTTTAGCTCCAGAGCAATGGCAAAAGCCCCACTAAGTTATGAGACCCTTGGTCCAACATACAAAGTAATGTGAAAATCTTCAAAAGTAATTTGAAATTCTCATGCACACAGATAGCCTCTGCTAAATGAGAAAGCTTTTATGCTATGCCATGTTAACTGTATATGCTCCCCATTCCATGAGGATATAAATATGTAATACAGCAGTGAAGTCAATGTAGCTAATTTATACCATCTGGGCATGTGAAACACACACCAAAAAAAAAAAAAAAAAAAAAAAAACAGTTACAAAATGATACTCCAGTGTAATAATATTTATATAGATGAAAAGCCAACCAACAAGGAAAAAATAAAAATAATAATAATAAAAAAAATAATAATAACATTCATGATTATGTGTGAAGAAAAGCACCATTTGTCTTCAAAATTTGTCTTTATCACTTCTGGATTTTAAAGTATCCATACCTCATTTTTCTTCTCACAATTGTTAGTAAACTGTATTACTTTACAACTGAAGAGCTGAAGTTTAGTGAGAACTAATAAATTGTCAATAACAAATATCATTGATCTTAGGCAGCTATCTGGGAAATTCATAGCAATGAGAAGAGTGTCTCTTCTTTAAGTGACCTTAAAAAGACTGAGCTTTTATATTATATTTGTAGGATGGGTGAACATTCTTTCTACTTCCCATCCTGAGAACTTTTTTTTTTTTTAAAAAAACTCATTTTTGCATTGCTGAGAATACTACATCGTTCATTTAGAAATGAAAAAGAGCCTGTTTATCCAAAGAAGATGGTTCATTTTAGTTGTTTGTAAATCCAAGTTGGTTAATTCTGCTTCATTTTCAAGACTTCCAAAATTACTGTTTTAGTAAATTTTATGGATAAATAATATGGATAAATAAAGGTGCTGAACCCACATGAATGATTAGGCTGCTTAAGCCAAAGTATTTGTCTTACAACTTCAATTCCTCCAAGTGAAAATCAACAAAAATGAAAAAAGAAAATTGATTAAATTGAATTAAAAGTCCTGCTGATGCTACTATTGAAACAAGATTGTAATATATATATATATATATATATATATGCTTGCCTATTAGAATTTAATTCATGATAAATATAAACCTCCCTATTTAGAGCTAAATTATTCTAAATATTACGTTACACCATCTTAAATATGTCTTGATTTTATACTTGTGTTTTGGGGAAAAAAAAAAAAAAAGTTGGTGGGCAAGTTCAGAAATTTTCCAGGTAGATTCAACAAATACTATTTTTCTAATAAGTGTTCATATTGACCAAACTAAAATCTTAGCAAAAATTATGAAACCCTTTTTCTATTGAGCTTTACTTCTAGTTTTGAAGAAAATTAATGTATAAGGCACTCAGGAGTTCAAAGCCGGTGAGTCAACCACATATTTATGACACACGTAACCTTGGAATTCACAGTATTCTCTGTATTAGATTAATATTTGTCTCATTTTCTAGAATGATGCCCGGCTTGTACCGATGTTGCTACATTGATGATTAACCCTGCTTTTTTGTTGAAGCTGGCTTATTCTGTACATTATCTTTAGAAATCGAAAGCACTTATATTTATAAAGCTTATTTAAGACACACGCCTCCACAGCTGATTGTTTTCACACCTATAATTTAGAAAAGATTAATTCTTTTCCTTGTATAAAATAAAATATAACCGTCAAACATCCTCAAGAGCCCAGGCTGATTCTGTGCTTCCTTCAAATTGTATTTTCTTACACAGTGGATGGTGGAAAATTGAGCAAGCTAGCTTGGATTTTATGAATAACCCCCAATAGCCCAGATTCTCAGCACACAAATGAAAATGAATTGCTTATACAATACTTCTAAAAGTAATATGGAAAGCTTGTATTTCTTTCTAGAAATGGAGTGACCTCGGAACTGACAAATATCTTCTAAGAATGACACGTTAAGCTAGATTCACCTTTATGTATTGTCACTGAAAATCTTTATAAAGATCACATTGCAAGATGCAAATTTTTGAGTTTTCTGGCTGTTGACCAGAAAATAGGCATGATTTATTTTCTATTTCTTGTTTAAGTACTTAAAAACATTGCAACATGCTCCCTGCAACAGTTGGGAATCACAGAGTCTGGAACGCATTCATTACGATCGCACAAAGAAAGTCTCATGGTGTCCAATTTTATAGATGAGGGAGTAGCCCAGAAGTCATGTGAGGAACCTGAGTTTCCTTGAGACCTACTCACTGGCTGAACTCACTGCCTAATGCAGCAACCCCTGTCTGTGTCACTTCAAGACAGTCAACTCATTTTGAAGTACACATATACCTACTTATTCAGTGCTATTAGGTGACAAGAAAACATTATGTTTCTGCTTACTATTTTCACCGGTACTGGTTATTTTCCAAATAAAGTGGAACTTTTTTAATTAACTGTGAAGTGATCTGAATGTGTGTTTTTTTAATAGTTCTACTAAAAAAAAAAAAAAAAAAAGGAAAAGAAAAAAATATATATTGATTAGATTAATCTCACAAGTCAATTATGATCACAAGAGTTTCTGGAGACAACAGTCTCTTAATTAAATCGAGTGGATACGACCTTAGTTTGAAATTAACTTCCTTGCAACCTTTTAGCCTTCCAGAAGAGAACAGGGTTTGGTGGTCTCTGAAGTGAGCCTGAAGGCTTGGTTTGAGATCTTAGCTCTTCTTCCCATTGCATCCATTTGCTCTTTCCTATAATGCATCGTTATAAAACAATTCTCATCTCACCACAATAAAGATCAGGAGCTTTTTATACATGTTTTACTGCCAGTAACTGAGTGTTTCTGTCAGGAGGGCTGGATGCAGAAGAGTAGAAGGGAAAGGTTGTAAGACTATTCACACACTGTGGTTCTGATTCTAACAAACCACAGAGAAGGTCTTCTGTGCCCTTCTCCTTGTAAACATGGACAACAATCAACTTTCATGATCCTAATTAATTTGTTTTTGAACTTCCTCCTGTGAGTAGGACAGCCAGGCAGAGAGCAGTAACAAAGCACTGCTCTTTCCTTCCTTCACACTCTCCAGCCTCTCTCGGTGCATACTTTTTGTTTTTCTCCTGTAACTTTGACAGAGGCATTCCTCTGTTCTCTCCTTCTGTGGAACACACTTCAAAACATGAATTCCCTAGTGTAACAAAGGAGAGGGGAGATTTTGAATAAGCAGAAAACAGTCAGATAGAGAAACAGCTTGAAAATAAGTTTAGGACATAATGTGGAGTTTGGGAGATGCACCATCGTGTGGGAGATACCAGAACCAAAGGGACTAGGCAGAGAGGAAGATTAAGGTTCAAATTACCGTTGCGAACATCATCCAATTCAAAAAAACATATACCACGATGGCAGCACACAGGTAATGCATGCTCAGTAAACTTCTTACAAGCTACTGACTCCTTTTAAATACTTGTTTATATAGCCCAATTGGCCTGCAGCAGCAGAAATTTCTGAAATTTGTAACATGAAGGCTCACAGATGTGTGAATATTTGAGCTATTTATTATTATATCCAAACATGTTCATTCTACTTTAATGACAATATAACTGGCTTTCAAGTTATGATATATGTCTTCAGAAAGCACAATAAGGGGGAAAACAGATAACAAATTAGGCCATATTAATTGAATGCAGAATGAAAAAAAAAAAAATCTCATATAGAACAGTATGTGAGGGAAGTCATAACTATACAGGAAAAACACACACACACAATTATTTAAGGCATAGAAATGAACTATTTGGAATTTCTACCAGCAAGAAACTAAATAAGTAATAGACAGTGATATTTCTCAAATACACAGTAATAACTACTGCAAGATTTAAGAATTAAGAATTTCTAGAAATAGTATGAACCAAAATGCTGAGCCAAAAATTAAGAAATACAACCCTCCCTCTATCCCCACGTAATTCAACAGCACTTTATAATCTGTTTAAGAAGTGGCAGAAATATCAAACAATACAGAGATAGCTTCGCAACTAACAGTTGATCTGCTGTACATACAAACAATATTCAGCACAAAATAAAACTTAGCCTGTTGCACTACACAGTAATTAGCAGGTTAATTAAACACAGTGAGAACTGTATTAAAGACCAGGCCTGACAAATTTCCCATTTCAAGCTGCCAAATAGTGTAATCAGTTTTCACATCAAACTACTGCATTTCTGGAGCACAGATTGGCGTCAGAATGGAGTCAATAATTCAACAATGGTATCAGAGTCAGTCTCCATTTTTATACAAAAGATTGTGAATAGAATTTTTAAAAAACGGTAAACATATTTAATTTTTAATCGATTTAAAAGATGCTAAAAATAAAAAAGATTATAAAAGCATTAAAAATAAGTAAGTTCATTTTTTTCAGTTGATAAAGCATCAAATGTAATTCTTTCATCTGGAAACTGGGGACCAGTTGGTCGGACATCAGTTATTGAAAAAATTACTGTGTGAAAGTTAAAATGCCCATTGGAAAAACATAGATCAATTAAGCCTAATCCACACGAATCAGTGAGAGAAGGTCATACTTTACTGACACGCAGGAGTACTGTGAAGATGCTACTGCCAAGACTGATGAGGGGAATGCAGTGGATTTATGATCCCCTGATTTGACAATGCCCTGTGCTCAGAAATTAATGTCTATAGGACAGTGTTAGGACATTGGGGGTAAATGAGCTGCTAGTTAAAAATGTCCTACAAAGAGGTGAAAAAAAATGTTTGTTTTTTTCAAGTTGCTTTGCAAGGAGAGATGCAGGTCTAAATCTAGCTTCTAGAAGACCTAGATCATCTGGTTTAGAACCAGGATACTGACGTTTTCCTTTTAAATTGTAACTGAATTTCAGGGTGTTCGTATTATCTAGATAAACCAGTAGATGACCATCAAGTCTATACAAATGTAAACTCCTATAAAGGATATAGTACACATATACCTTGCATAATAATGCTATTGAGAAATGAGAAAAAGACATGAGAGGGAAAAATCACTGAATACTGCCCTTCTGTGTATGGCTAAGGGTAAGATCTCATACTAGCTAAACTATGAAACACAGTGCAAACATGGACTTGTTTCTGATATTTAAGACACCTAATAGGCACCAGTTGCACAATTATTTATCACAAGAAAATAGTATCTCTTTGTCCCATTGCAAAACCTTTATCAGGCTTTAAAATCTTTAAAATCTGCAAAAATCTTTATCAAGTCTTTGTCTGGACAACCTCAGTTGTAAATTATTTGGTGTACACCTACATTCAGCAGCTTTTGGCATGTCTGCCTGGCAGATAGAGCAGTGAAAAATTATTTTTCATAAATTCTATTTGTGTCTCTTACAGAATAAAATTTTTCCCATACAAATAGTAAGGTACCTGATACAACTCAGAAGAGCAGACCTAGTATAGAATTTTAAGAGCTTTTGGTTCCACAGGGAAGGCGTCATCTTTTACAAAATGCAGCAAGTTTTCAGGGCAATTGCTGAAGAGCTCTATTGGATCCACCTTAGAAATTCTCTTAGGATTTCTCTGTAACTGTAATTTGTGTTATCTCTGAAGTGCTTATGTTACATTAAAAAAAAAAAAAAAAAAAATTTCCTAGATCAGATTTAAGATAATATAAACCAGTAATCACAGTTATGAAAAATATTGTCACAGTCAAAGTCAAAGTGGGGCAGAGAATCAGAAATGAAAAATATTGTCACAGCCAAAGTGGGGCAGAGAATCAGAAATTACAAGTGCATAAGAAAAGATTGACAGTAGGATATAGGATAACAAAAAGTTGAATTAAATGCACATATTATATTCACAGTGATAGAACAGTACCAAGAGATTCTTAGCATCAAATAAAATTTTAATTTGCTTTTCTGAACTTTTATTTACCCTTGATCTTCATGGAAGGGGATTTTTTTTTTTTTCTTTGTGAAAAGGGTTTTCTTAGGTGGGGGCCCTTCTGCCTCTTCTGGTTCATTTTTTATATATATATATATATATTTTTTAATTTTTTTAAAGAGCTTTTTAAAGCTCTACCTGGAGCTTTCGGCCAGGTAGAAGACCAGGTGCAGTATTGTTACTGCACCCAGAGGGACCACCCCCAGTGAACTCAAGAATCCAGCCCCTAACATACTTTACTCTATACTTTACAGCATGCTGTGTCTCAGTACCCCAAATCCTGTGTGTCTCTGAAAAGTTAGATAGCCAGATGGTAAAGAATCTGATCTGATTTGGTTAGTGAGACAGTGGTGTAGGAGCTAAAGGAACTGGAGCAGACGAAGGGACACCCCAAACTGAATACTGTTGAGTAATGGAAAAGGTGTAGTTCAGGTATGGGCAAGCATTCCAGCATTATCATTTTAACCAAGCCATTTTTATGTAAAGGTTTAAAAACAGGACCAAGTTACCATGGAAACTGATTGAAGCAGAGACTTACTGTAAATTCTTTTCTAGACGAGGATAACAGGACTGACAGGTGGGCTGTAAAAGGAAAATGAGTGCAATATAAAGTTAGGCATGATGGTCTGTTTTCTCTTCCTAAAGGTATTTTTTATAGCTCTGCTTTATCTCTACTATTTTCTACAGTGATATATTGACTGTATCTTAAAAGATGCTCACACCCAAATGAACCTTTTATTTTGTCATAATCCTATTTGCAAGGGGATGTACGCACCCTGGAGAAAAGAACTGAAGGGCAGGTCACTCCAGTTATTTTCCCAAATTACTATGTCTTGCCAGAATCATCAGGGAGGCAGAACCATCACTCAGAAAATGCATTTGCATAAAGTGCCCTTTGCTGCCAGTGTTTATATTTTGCGCCTGAAATATGCTCTAGGTACATTCATACCATAGCAGAGTGCTCTCGTTGTGCAAATATAAGAGGAGGTAACAAGGGATTAATGTGTTGATGGTGAAGAAATATCAATTTTCCCTTTCTCAAAAATCTTGGAGAGTATACTTATTGCTGCAATTGAATTCAAAGTCAAGATGATTTAGCTCGTTAAATACTTTCTTAGTCCTATGGATGATGGTAAGAATAACATAGATTAGAGTACACAGCCCCCAGAATTTGGTGCCAGAGTTTTAAGAAGGGAAATTGGCAGAGAATGAACAACAGCAGATCATATACCCTTTCCACTTGGAATAGTTAGCCGTCAGCACTGGAAAACTGTTCAACATATGAATATGCAATATCTTTTTAAATCTGTGCCGGATATTTCTACCTGCTGTGCTTAATTTAAGAATCTTGTTTTATCATTAGAGAAAAATTGCTTTCTCTTCCAATATAATTTTCTACCAAAAGGAAGGAAGGAGAAGGGTAAAATTCACACTGAACTCATCCTGAAACTTTTCGAGCCTAAAGTTTCTGCTTCTTGGTTCTGGCTCCCACCTGGAAGTATATTTGCACATGCCCCCTGACTTGAACTATAAAGCAATTTTCCTCGGGAGTTTTAAGAGGTTTGCTGTCACAAGTAATCATAGTTGGTCCCACTGCTCTAGAGTCACAATAGATAGCCACCTTCTCCAGCATGTTTAATGTTTACCTTAACACTAGCTAAAAGTAATGGCAAGAGGTGGTTTTATTGTCAAAAGTAAATGTTCTGCTCACCTTCAGTATCTGTCTTCCCCAGTGCTGTGGGGGTGGGGACATGACAGATGGTTCCTGCAAACTAATCACAGAAAACATGGTATTTGGTATATTGCATGCATTTCCAGGCAAATAATGAACAATTTCTATTTAATATCTTCCCTGTGGAAAGCTGGACACCTTAATAAAATGTGTTGTGCTCTAAGAAAATGCATATTACGTGTTAAAGTTAAGATGTGATTAATCACAGAACTCTGAAATAAATGATGCACAGGCACATTACCTATCCTAAGTGAGTTCTGATGATGGTGTTTATTGCATGTAAAGCTTTTTGGCCATAAGACAAAGGGAATCATGGGGCCAAATTTTGCTTTCTTCAGCCTATGTAAGTTCATCTTTGATGCAGGGTTTTGTCCACCTCATTGTACCTGTGGGCCTCCAAGTCTCAAAAGGCCAGGCTTATTGCAGGCAGGCTTATTTAGAGGCTTGTGCAGTCTTTCAGACGGAACGCTTAATACATAAAGGGTACAACCATTTTTGTCACTTAAAGGGAGTTATTTTAAGTATTTCTATGCTTTTTGTCTTTGTACTTGGATAAACCTTACCTAAAAAGGGCCAACAAATACTTCTGTGGTTTTCAAGAAAAAAAAATCACCATAAATATAGAAATTATTTCAAAGATATGCTCCTCATTTTAGAAAAGATGTCCTCAATTTAGTTTAAAAGATGTTCTAAGTTTAATTCATGATGCTGCAGTTTAATTCAATTAAAATTCTGTGGCAACACTGTATATTCCCACATTTTACTTTTTATTAAACATCCCAGGAGAGTTAATTATTTCTCATACTTCTATGACAAAAATGTCATTTCAAATAATTGTGATCAAATTCCCCACACAGGTGTTTATAAGTATCTTGGATTTAATTAAGGAAGTCAGAGAATTAGAAATCAGAATAACAAAGTTCATAAAATAGAACAATACAATCTGAATTTACAAATGGAATGATTGTCCAAAAGCAAAGGTGGGAATTAGAGGTACAAAAAAATTGAATTATTGTTAGGAACTGGGGAGAACCTAGGAAATAACTTCTAGAGGGGAAAATAATAATAGTAATAATAAAAATAATAATAAAATAATAATAAAGGAAACAAGCTACCTAAGGATAGTTCTTGCAAGCCTGAGCAGAATTATATGAAAATCACTGAACCCTGCAGAGGCGCCTTGGATAAGGTACCTTGTAATCTTCCAGACTAGCCCTGAAAGTAAACAGACAAATGCTATGAAGGTGTTGCTTGGACTTACAGAGAACAAACTGCTAGACATTTACAATATATCTATGTATTCTTGTTGCCACGTTTTTTCCAAAAAAGAAATGATATGAACAGATTCTGCGCATGGATTTAAGTTATCAATATAAATAATACAGTAGTATTCATATGTAAAAACTTGTTTTTACATCAGAACTTGACACAGGTTTCTCATTGCTTTGTCTTTATTTTTATGGAAGACAGGTGAGTAATAAAATCAAGTCTTTCGTTTACCCATAGGTAACTCACGGATGTTTGTCAATGCAGGTTTACCAATATACAGTCTGCACGGGTTTAATACATGACAAAGAGACAAGCAATCTGTGGAGAATGGCAGTGGATGTGATGCAGATCAGCAAGAAAGAGAAATTAAGGATGAAAAGACAGAGCAGTTTCTAAAGAATCAGGTAAGGAACACAGGTGATTCCCTACAATGTGCAAGTTGTACAAAGAACCATTTGAAATAGATTTGCCTATTTTGTCCTTTCTAGTATTTTTGAGAATAACTACTGTATGTGCCTATGGATGTATAGTTATATATATGGATCCATATATATATATATATGGATGTATATTATACATATAAACATACACATATCCTTCTTACTCCCACCCAGACAATAAATTTTTTTTTTGAACAAAGTTGCCACAACCCACAGTGCAAATACGTGCCATCATAGTATTTGATTTATTTATTTATTTGTTTGTTAAATAAAATCCATGCACTATAATCCATTTTGTTTTGTTAAAAACAAACAAACAAACAAACAAACAAAAAAAGTTACTCTTTGATACAGAAAACCAAATGAGTAATATTTGTACAAAAAAATAAAAGAGAGTTGTTCTATGTGTTCCTATTCTTTCTCAAGCAGTCAGTTCCAAGTTCTAAAACCTTAAATTATGCTATCCTAATACTGAGCTCTTTGGGCATTACATGTACACACACTGCAGACAAGCAGGTGTGTTATAACCTGCCTCTGCTTTCTGACACTGGTGACACATAAAGAGTTCATTTAGAGCTGGCACACGCTTTTAGTTCCTAAGCCTGAATAAAGGAGAGTAAAAAATATATTTACACAGCAGCAAAGCTGGACGAACAGTGAGCAACAATTCACCCTTTCCTCCTCTGCTCCCTTAATTTAGCAAAAAGTTGGTTTACCACTTGTAGTGACACAGTGGTAGAAGTAAATGTGACAGAGAAAGTACCTTCTCTACAGCCTGAAACAAGCTGGGGAACTAAGGTAACTGCAGGCTGCACAAGGCCTTTCTGTTGTTTGTGACAGAAATACTCTCTTCAGTTTTTAGATATAGCTTATTTGGATGAAATTACATTTTCCACAAGTAGGAGTTAAGAAGAAATGCTCACAACTAAACACTACATATCCATCATTTGTCTGTCCACCTTATCTGCACCTCACCCTTCCACTTGCAAAACTAAAGCTAATGAGAGGCCCGGTACACCAACCCATCAGCTGTTAAGAACGGCTCGGTACAGGGCTTCACGTTCCTGAGTAGCACCATCAGCTTATCACGAGTTCATTATATATGCTCAAAATATAATTCCTTGTAGTTTGGCCTTGTAGGAGACAAGAAAGAAAGAAAGAAAAAGAAAAAAAGAAAGAAAAAGAAAAAAGAAAGAAGAAGGAAGGAAGGAAGGAAGGAAGGAAGGAAGGAAGGAAGGAAGGAAGGAAGGAAGGAAGGAAGGAAGGAAGGAAGGAAGGAAGGAAGGAAGGAAGGAAGGAAAGAAGGAAGGAAGGAAGGAAGGAAGGAAGGAAGGAAGGAAAGAAGGAAGGAAGGAAGGAAGGAAGGAAGGAAGGAAGGAAGGAAGGAAGGAAGCCCAGTTCCCAGTTAAGCCTCTCAAACTGGAAAAAAAAAAAAAAAATCATTATTATTAGTTACATCATAGCACTTACATGTAGCACAGTTCATGGTTTTGCAAATATTTTGTTCATGCTAACATGTTGCACTTTTTGCACTTTGGTAAGATTACCACATATTCTGCCAGTTCCTCTGTATGTTGTTGATTTCTGCAAAATGACAGCTGCTGCATTAATAGAAAAAAAAATAAAAAGGTTCAGAGTATCAGTAAGGATGCCTCTAATGGGAGAAGCAGCATAATACAGCTGGAGTTTCTAGGAGATGCAATATTCATCAGTTACAAACTTGGGAATGTCATATTGTAAAATGTACAAGATAAAAGACGCTGTGTGGTGTTTCAGCTGGTTCCATTTGCCATATGGCATATTATTATTTTGTATTACCTTGGGGAGTGCAATAAAAGGGGAAGGAGACTAGAGCACACTCGAGGTATATAGAATAATATGCAGAAATTCTATAGTTCTTAATTGTAGCAATAAGGTCTGTAACTGAAATGGAGGTGGAACTAAATACAAGAGCTAAATGTGTGTTATACTGCTCTCCAGCTACTGGAAAGTAATAAACTCTTATCAGGAATATTTACACAGGAAGAATTTGCCAGATACCATATGTAAAAGCCTACAGACAACCCCAAAGAAGGCTGACTCAAAAGTCAGCAAATGCTATGTGTAATGCTATACACATTACCATAATACAGTTTTACAACAGATTTTCTGGGGTAGGCTGAATAAAATACTAGATTGGTAGTCTTTAAGAATGAGATTCCACATGCACAACTATAATAAAATCATCAAATGAATTATTTGAATTATTAGAACACACATTTGCATTGTGTGGGCTGGAGGGTAGTGTTTGGTGAAAACAATTACAGTAAAGGATTCCTACATGAATTGTGGCAGTCTGATATCAGGATAAGTGAGCTGTTCATAGGGCCTAAAAAATCCCCAAACAAAATCTCCAGACCCCAGACTTCGAAAGGCAGAACATATTTCAGAAGTCAGAAGCAAATTGTTCTCAACATAGCCAGAACTCATGCAAAATTTCAGGCAAGTAGGCACAATGAAACATCCAGGGCCATCTTTGGAGGTATAGTCTGACTCTGAAGCAAATTCCAACCAAGGTCGTATCATTCACTGCAAGCTATTATTCAGTCATTACTTCAATTTTAAAAGACAAATTTTCTGATACCAAATCACAGAAATTTACAGGCTTGCAGTTTTTTGGAATAGTTTGTCTCTAAATACCATAGGCCATTAGATGCAGCATTTCAAGATCTGTTACAGAAGCAGAATACTTTAAAATTATTTATGCTAATTGTGCAATACTTCAGATGGCATCTTCAAAGCTATCATCTATTCAAGTGTTCAGTTTGAGCAGCCAAAAAGTAGAAGAGAGTTCTTTTTAGCCAGATCTTTAACAGTAATAAATCAGAGAAATTCTAGTAACTCTCAATATTTCCTATTATGTATTATGTATTTAGATTTCCTGTTAGCTTTTACCAGCTTTTAGGAAGATAACTTTTTAAATAAGTCATCCAAGTGACTCAATGTCATTTAAAGATACCATAGCCTCCCAGTTCAATGAATAGATGAGGCTGGCAGGTGAAGCTGAGCTGCAATTGCCGTGCAAATTAGTGCATACATTTCCATTTCTCAGCTAATGCTAACACCAACTCAGGACACGTTTTCCACTGTGTTACCGAAACCTATGAAGTTTTCACACTTTCAGCCTGAGTGCCACTCATACTTAATCTATACATAATCTTCTGTTTTGGCCAACAAAACAGGCTGATGTAAAAATGACTGACTGATGTCAGTAACTAAGGGCCATTATTAAGCGAGAGATAAGAACAGGAAGGGACAGAAGGAGGGAGGGAGCTAGTTCTCGCTATTGGAC